CTCCGCAGGGATCCAGCCTGGCCAGCCCACCCCTCTCCTTAGGCATCTGGCCTGGCAGGTCCTCGGGGATCCCTCTGGCCAGCCCACCCCTTTCCTTAGGGATCTGGCCGGGAAGATCTGCAGGGATCCAGCCTTGCCCACCGCTCTCCTCAGCAGCTTCCCTTGGGCACTGTCTGGTCCATCCAGTGTCATCCTCGGGTGACAAGAGAGGTCTCAGTACCAGGCTCCATCCCTCCATTCACCACAACCGTATCCAAGTAGGTGAAGAAGAAAAGCTGCTCTTGATTTGCTTCCCTGAGCTCACCTGCTCTCACCTTCTTCCCTCACCTGTCCCATCCCTCCCTGACAAATCTGGGATCACTCCCTGCCTTTTCCTACACCTGCCAGCTCACCTGCCCCATTGCAGGGTCAGGAATTCAGTTCAGCAGAATCTTCTGGAGAAGGATTGGGATCTCATACCAAGCCAGGGTGATGCTTCTGGCTGCAGGTACTCCAGATTGTGTGTTTGGTGCCATGCAGATGTTTGTGGGTGTTGGGGAGCCCCAACTGCTGCCTCAGGGCATCCTCACTCTCCTGCTCCTCGTGGGCTGGGATGTGACATGGAATGTTCAGGAATTCAGTTCAGCAGAATCTTCTGGAGAAGGATTGGGATCTCATACCAAGCCAGGGTGATGCTTCTGGCTGCAGGTACTCCAGATTGTGTGTTTGGTGCCATGCAGATGTTTGTGGGTGTTGGGGAGCCCCAACTGCTGCCTCAGGGCATCCTCACTCTCCTGCTCCTCGTGGGCTGGGATGTGACATGGAATGTGTGTGGGGGAGGGATCTGGTGAATGGATGAATCCAACACTCTACACATGCCAACACAGCTCTATTTGTATTAACTCTGCAGCAGGTGCAGCTGTTGCCAAGACACACCAAATGGGGCGGGAGGGGGAAGAGGATGAGAGGAGGATGCCTTGCTGCTTTGGGGAAATACTTTGCCAGGACACATGGATTATCCATATTTCCTACTCTGTGTCTCAGAGTTTTGGGATGCTGCAGTTTGGATCTCTGACCGTGCAGCCAGGCCTGCACAACTTCACTTCCAAGTGTGTAATTAGTAGCTTCTAAGTATCCTATAGTGCTTTCACCTGGAGAACCCACTCTCTGTTGCGTCCTGAGTGGGGGATTGTGGAAGTGTTCCTTCCAGCTGCGCTGCAGTGTGTGGATATATGGTTATGTGCCCCATCACACAGCTGCTGAGGACCAGCCAGAGCCTCTGCCTGTCCTCTCTGTGCTGTCCTGCAGCCACATGGACACTAACAGCAAAAAAACAGAAAGTGGCTTGTTTTCCTCACTAGATAACAGTCCTTCTAATTAAACTTGTAATAGTACATTTTAATTAGGCTTCAAAGCCTTAATGAAACATATAGGACTGGAGATTATGGCATTCCTAGGAAGTGTAATGTGCCTTTGGGAGTGTTTTCAGTACCACATCAATCACCAGAGAATGAATTTGCCTCAACCTTAAGGATAGGACCGTGAACTCAGCTCACCTCTCACCTGCCCTGCTCTTCCTGAGCTGTGGCTGGTGGTGAACAGCCATGGAAACCTCAGCCAATGTGTATTTTCATCGCCTAGATAATATCAAGTTTAGGTTGTGCCAATTAGTCATTAAAAAGCCACTGAAGAGCTTTATCTTTATTGTTTGTTTAGTCAGTGTGTGGAAAACTTTATTATGGGGTTTGTTTGCACTTAACCCTTGTGGGTTTTGTAGGGTCTGAAAGTGAAGATCCTTTCCTTGCTGCTCAGGGGACACTATCAACAGTTAGTGGGAAAACAAGTCAAAAGACAGGATTTCTGTTGAGGAAGACAGTGGTGGGGAGAAGTGGCTGTGCAGAAGGAGAACTTAGTTAAGAAAGTTGATTTCTGCATTAATTTCTATCCTGAACGTGTACTGATCATCTTCTCAAGCTTCTTTGTAGGTCTCTTAGAGATAGGTCCTCAGTCCTAGATTGTGGATTTTTCTGGACTGCCAGGGGAAGAGGTGGTTTTACAGCGACCAATGAAGGAAATTCAAGGCACAATTTATTTCTACTATGTATTTCTGGGAAGCATTTAGGTATTGATATTACAACCATAGTGCAATTACACCTACACTGGCAAATCTAGTCTGGGGTAAAGCCAATAAACCTTTGCCAAGAGGGATGACAACAGTTAATACGTTTGGTGCTAGAAGTGTCATTTTTGGGCTGTAGTTTCAGCACTGTGCAGGACAGCCGTGGTCCCACGTGGGATGGTGGCATGTAGTTTGCCCCAGTCCCCACAAACCTGATCCCAGTCCACACCGTCTCTCCCTGGGGCGGTGGCTGTGGTTACCTGTGCAGGTGTGTCACAGGGAGTTACTCCTTGGCTTGGGAATGGTTGTGCTGTGCTCCTGAGTGGAACCTTTGGCTGAAAACCTGCAGAAGTTGGTCAGTTGAACATCTGCGAGTTTGTGAGCTATTTGCCCAGAGAATGTGGCTGTCCCATCCCTGGAAGTGTTCGAGGCCAGGTTGGACAGGGCTTGAAGCAACCTGGGCTGGTGGAAGGTGTCCCTGCCCAGGGATAAGCTTTAAGGTCCCTTCCAACCCAAACCATTCCAGGATTCCCTGTGCTGGTTTAGATTGCACGGTGAAGCCGTTGTTAACTTAAGGCCCTTCCAGAATTGTGTGTGTCTGCAGCATGTGGATGTCAGGACGTGTTTGCTGTGTGTCGGGAAACATCAGGCTGTGGATGGAGCTGTAAATACATCACACGCATCTCTCAGAGATCACTTCAATGAGGCACAGCTGCCACGGAAAACCTGCTGTCCACAGGTGCTTTGGATAGTGGGAAGCACTTGGGACTTAGTTCTCTGCTTGCATCACAAAGTCAGGGAGATTGCTGAGGTCAGACGTGTGCTGTGGTAGCCAAACCCTTTGGTTTGCACCTCGTTTAGGTGGAGGAGTTGAGGGAGTATGTTATTTATTGAGATGTTTTGCAGGGTTGAAAGTGTCAGAAATGTTCTCAGGCTGTTTGAATCCTGTTTGGGCTTTTCTACCTGCTCAGTCATTTTCCTCTTGGGAAAATAATTATGGTCTGTAGGGATTATACCCAATGTCTTTATGTGCATGTGGTTCATAGGTAAATAATCCTGGAATTCCAGAAGTGCTTTGGGTTGGCAGGGACCTTAAAGGTCATCCAGGCTGAGGCAGGGACACCCTCCACCAGCCCAGGTTACTCCAAGCCCCATCCAGCCTGGCCTTAAAACACTTCAGGGCTGAGTCAGCCACAGCTTCTTCATTGCACATAAATGCCATTGGCCGTTGGATCCCAAGTTTCCATTGAAATTACAGGGCAGATTTTAGTATTTCTTGCAGTGAGCCATAATAATTTGCAAGAAGGGTTTCTCCTCCCCTCATGCCAGGCCAGTCTTGTATGCAAAGAAATGCCCTTGTTATGGGATTTCCCTGGAAGTGGTGCGTGTGTTATCAGGGAATGCAGTCAGGTATCCAAGACTTTTTATCCAAGAGTTTAGAGGCTGTTTGCTCTTTTCCCCCTGGATGGCACAAAATAAAGGATCTGTCAGTTACTGGTGTAAAGCTAATGTATTATATGTATATTGACTCTTCCCCTGGAGAGGGAAGGTCTTCTCCTACTTCCCCCAAACACCTTGGAGTCTAAATGTTTTATTCCTTGCAGTGTGTCTAAAAAACACTTTATAATACCCCTTTTTTGGTGTGTATTTTATTTTGGCATCCGAATTTCCACCCAAGCATCTGCCAGCTCTGTGCTGAGGAGCTAAATGCAGAGTATTTATCATTGGGATTAATCATTTTATTGAGCAAAGGCTCCTTCCACTCTGAATCTCTGAGATCAAAGCTTTGACAAACAAAGCTGTTACCTCTCTGCAAGAGAGGAGACATTTGCCTGGTTCGAACAGCTCAAACACTCTGTGCATGAAGGAAGGCAGTGTCAGAAGCAGGTTGTAACTCCTCTCTTAGCATTTTGTCTTTGCAGCTTTTGAATAATTATGAGGTGCTGAATAATAGATATTTTAGCAACACATCGAAACACTTCCCATGTAGTTGGGCCCTCCCTGGGCAGGCTGTACTGGAGTAATTAATGAAGCAGGTGTGTTCTGGTTATTTATAGATTCCCCATCATTGTAGCATTAAGGCCTTGGGTCTCACCTAGGGAAACAGGATTCCAGGCAAAGAGTTCCCCTTGGAAGCATCACTGGGGTTGCTTCGTCCAAGAACCTTCCCAGGATTTAGTTTTTTTTCTAGACGTTTCCCTCAAGGATGAATGTTGAAAATGAGAAATTTGGGGTTCTGAGCAGTTGTAGCTATTAGCAGATCTTGGTGTATATCTTGTATTTTTGCTTGGTTCAACTAAGACCTTGTAGTTATAAAAGTAGATGTTAACAGGCAGAGAGAACGAGATTTGATGTTCTTTGATTCCTGCCTGATCTCCTGCATAAACCTCTGCTCCATACCTGAGGGTGGTTGTGCTTCACTCATCCCCTCTGGAGACTGAACAGCTCCCGGTCCTTCCCACATTTTCCATCTCTGCCCTGTGTGTTGGCAGAAATCCTCGCGTACTCCAAACACATCAGCAAAGCCGTGTTTGTTCCTCCTTCAGTTACGAGTTCAGCCGAAGGTTTGGGGTGACTTCTGGTCTCGGAGCTGTTGGGTTGGATTTCTCCTGTGGGAGAGGCACAACTGCTCCAATCTGGAGTCAAACCCAAGAGTTTTCAGCACCAACTTTCCAGATTTCCCGGGAAAGGAAACACAGGTTATTAAAGCAGGACCTGGAGTCAGTTTATAGCCAGAGAGTTAAGAACCTGAAAAGATGCACCTCATTTTTTTTTCCCTTTGGAAATCTAGGAAGTAAAAACATTGGTTTTATTTCTGCCATTAGGATTTTTCTTACCAAGAATTCCTTTTGCTGCCTGAACAGTTTTCCAATCCCAATACCTCCTCTTTTTCCTCTGCAGGATGGCGGACACAGACCTTTTCATGGAGTGTGAGGAGGAGGAGCTGGAGCCATGGCAGAAGATCAGTGATGTCATCGAAGACTCTGTGGTGGAGGATTATAATTCTGTGGATAAAACTGCTACAGGTAATTCCCTGTTTGAGTCTGGAATCGTTCCTGGGAATATGGCATTGGTTGGTTCCATCCGCTCCAGTAAATACTCTAATTTGATCCCTAAAAACCCTGTGAATGAGGAATAGAACCAATTGCTGGTGGTGGATGGAGCTGTGGATGCTGGTGGGGCTGCATGAGGCACGGTGTCCTGGAATAACTCATTTTGGAGGCAGAAAATGGCTTTTTTTTTTTTCCTCTTTGCAAAAGAAATAAGATTTTTGCAGGTGTCGGAAAAGGCTGTTTAAAAAATAAAAGTGAAACTCAAAGTTGTTCATATTGAACAGCCAAAGTAGTTGTTTCTTTAAGGTAGAGAGTTCATAATTTTCATCTCAGATGCTGCATATATGTTACAAAGTGCTTTGGGTGCCTCAGCACTCCCTGGGGACTCCTTCTGGGAGCTGGAAGTGGGTAAGGAAGTCAGGAATTTGGTTGTATTTCCTGTGAGTTACCTTAAGGAGTCAAACTATGCAGAGCTGAGGGAGCAGGATGGGAATGCAGGGTGGAGGGAACTGGATGGGAATGCAGAGCTGAGGGAGCTGGATGTGAGTGGGAGCTACTCTACACTCCAAATCCCAGTGTGCTGCTCTGTCAGCCCAGCCCAGCAGCTGCTGGAGTGGTGTCTGCAGACAAGCTGTGCTCTGTCTCCTCTCTAAACCCACCTGTGCCATTCCTTTCTAGCACTTCTGGGGAGTCTCCAGCCTCTTTGTGCCCCTGTGCTCCTGCTGGGTGTCACCCTCCCTGCAGCCACCTCAGGCAGGAGCAGAGAGGCTCAGAGTAGTGCTAGGACAACACTAGGGACCAGGTTTGTGAGCAGCAATGGTAAGCAGCAAAGCCTTAAAGCATTTTGGGGTGCAGAGGGGAGACACAAGACTCACTTGGGGTCACGCTGTCACCACTGGGAGCACCTGAGTTCAGGACAGAGGCTGAGCTGTGCTGACCCTTGCAGGGGCTCCGAGGAGCAGCAGCTGCTTTTAGTCCATTCAAGAATAAATCCAGTGTCCTTCCACACTAGTGCAGTTACTATTGGTGGTATCCCCGCCAGGTAAGGTGTGAAATGAAGATTCTTGACTGCTCAGGATCACCGTGATGTGTTTTGCAAGAGGAGATGTGTTAAACTGGGGTATTGGCCACATTCCAAGGTGGATAATTCAGTTTTTTTCTGCTGTTAAAGGATTGTCATGTTTCATTTCAGGCAGAGCTGAAGCAATCTCTGCTTAACTGAGACTGAAATATATAATAGATATGATATACTGAAATATAAGTGAGTTTAGGACTCTCTGGGATCAAGGACCGGTAAAAATGTGTTTGTCAAACTCATCTTGGAGATTCTCATCTCCTTTAGGAAAGTTTGATGAGACACAGAGTAATGAGGAAGGTTTTATACATTATCTGAAACCGAAAGGTTTATTTGGAGTCTTAGAAGCGTTTTCAAGTCCCAGTGTCTCAGCTATCACTCCATGATGCATTTGTGATGAATATTTCATAGCTTTACTAATAAAAGTAACGTGAGACACGTGTTCCAAATCAGTTGCCAGGAATTAATAAAGCCTTGGGGCTAGAACTGGATTAATGGGTTAAGAAAACGTAACAGCAATGAATTTATCTGCGAAATACCTGGATATTCTCTGGACAGGCTCCAGTCTATGAGAGCACTGGAGGTTCAGGAGTGTTGCTGGAGGCTGACCAGAAGGAGAGACTTCTAGTCTGCATGGAGCAGTTCAGAGGTGTTTTCCTTGCAGACTTTAGAGAACCCTTTCCCTGGAAAGCTGCTGTTATTCCACATATTAATTGGCCTGTGCTGGAGGGGTGAAATCAGGTGGAGCTCCCTGTGATCATCGTCTTTCATAGGATTATTATTTTCTTCTATTTTGCAAACAGAATTTGTGGAAGCTATTAGGGAACTAATCACCTGGGATTTCACTCCATAGGTTAAAAACTGGACTCAGGCAGAGATATTCCTCCATCCATCACTTCCCGTCCTTTTTCTGTTGTGGATCTCCTGTAGTATGTCCTGTTGTAAACTCCTCCGCTGGAAGCAGCTGGAGTGTTGAGTATGGTTTTCTGGGATTGCACTGGTGTTTTCCTGCTCTGCTGGGATGGGATGAGCTCCATGGGGAGTGAGAAGATGCTGTTTGTGCTGTATGTTCCTGGTCACCATCACATGGCTTTGCTCATTCACTGAGTCAGACTCCTAAGTCCTTTGGGATGGATGTTTAGGTGAAAAACCAGGGAAACAGGATTGATTTTGCAGAGCTCTGGGGAGTTCAGTTTCATGAAGGAGGTAATTCCCCTCTGTATCACAACAGTATTTGGCCCCTTATCTTCAGAACTGATGGCACCCAAAATTCCTCCTGGAGTGGCCTTTCATTCCCAAGTGTGGTATTCCAGCCCCTCCAGCTGCTGTTCCCTGACTTGCCAGGGAATCCTTTTTGGCCTTATGCCAGTGAGGATTTGGAGTGGCAAAGTGCCCCAGGGCCATCTGTCACCTCCTCGTCCCTCTGGCCCAGTGACTGAGGGTCACAGCCCAGTGTAAACTGTGGCTGTGTGGAACACTCCCAAAATGATCCATGTCTGGAGCCATCGCAACTTTCCACAAGCTGTTTGTTGCCCTCCTGGCTGTCAGCTTGGATTTTGGTTTACATTCATTAAAGAGACTTTAAAAAGACTTGAATAAGCTTGGGCTGAAAAAGACCCATGAAATCTGTCCCTCTCCCTGTGCTCTGCCTTTGGGGTCCGTCTCAGCACCTCAGTTGTTCACAGGGCAAAATCTCTACTCCTTGGAAGATTTGGGAGTGACTCTGCTCCTTATTGGCCAAGTGAGATCCTGCAGACACTGCGGAGGAGGAAAGGATCTGCTGATGCTCCACATTTGGGCCTTCAGCAGGTATCAGGTGAGATGTAAATAGTTAGGACATCATAGAACTATCCGAAGAGTCTTGTTTTCTTCCTTTTTTTTTCTCTCTCCTCAACTCCTCTCTCTCCTTTCCTCCTTCTTATTTTCCTCATCCTGTGACGAGGTTCTCCAAATTTCCTAAGAGATTCCAAGTCCAGTCTGTGTGTCTAGTCCTCATCAAAAAGTGAGGCAAGATGCAGTTGTGTGACTTGGATTTGAACCTTCCCTGTATCCCTCATCCCCCTGCTGTGTCTGCCTGGGATAGTCTTTCTGAAAACACTTGGATGCTGTTCCCCTAAGGATTGCCAAGCACCATCCAGGCTGTCAGTGCAAAACATCTCCCACTGAAAGAAGCTGCTTTGGCTGTGGGTCAGAAGATTTTGGCATGGAGCAGGGGCTTTCCCTGCATGTACACCATTCCCTGGGGAACATTGCTGTTTGGGCACATGGAACATCAGCAGTTTGGGGAATCTTGGACAATTTTGTAGCCTTGGAACCACCTGGATGTCCAAGGCTTGTGCTGCACATGTGCAGTGGGAAGAAGATGCCCGTGGGGCTTCCTGTGTCATCCCTCCCTCTGCTGATTTGGAGCCCCTTCGGAATCCCTTGACGCTCCAGGCGTGGATTGTATAGGAGCAGGATGAGCAGTGCCTGAACACAAAGACATGAATGACCAGACTAAACTTGGTGAGGAAGAAGGACTTGAAGCCCAAATAAGTTTCCTGCTTGTTTTCTGCAGCTGAGTTGGAATATTTTTATCTGGTATTTATTGAATTGATAGTATTTCCCCCTCTCCATGACGTTTAGGCTGTTAAGGGATTTTATGTGTGTGGATCCCTTGCTCCCTGCTGTCTTTAGCCCTGGATCTGGCTGGGACGGTGTGATTTACCCCGTGGCAGCTTTGTTTTTGTACCTAGAGAGGCTCTGATAACACACCAGTGTTTTGGCTATGCTGAGCAATGCTGTGCACCATCAAGGTCTTTTCTCCAACATCAAACTCCATTTCTCTTCATCCTCATGTTTTTCCATCTTATTTCCTTCCCCCTGTGCTGCGGAGTGAAGGAGCAGCTTGGTGGGCACCTAGTGTTCAGCCATGGTCACCTCCCCAGGCCACGTGTCACCTCTAACTGGCATTTGGGAGGGAAAGGTGGAGTGTTAGAGAAGAGGATCCTTAATTCCTCCCTCATCCTGCTGCCAGCAAACCTTGGCAGTAGATGGAAAACACTTCTGTTGTGGTGAGACAGGAGGGCCCCAAGTTGCCAGGAGCAATTGGGCAACATTCCTGGCTTGGAATTCCCTCATTCTGTGTAAATAGTGTGAGTCTGCTCCTCTTGGCAAGTGAGGGCTTGTGGGACTGGAGCACACATGGGATAACTGAGATCCTGAGTGAGGATGCAGCCAGGAAGTGTCTGCTGGGCTGGTGCAAAGGAGGTGGCCACAAGTGGACTAATGTGGATTTTCCTGGGGGAGTTGGAGGTCATGGATGGTCTTTGGGCAACTGTGGAGAGGAGAATGTTATAAGGAGTTGCTGGGCAGGTGTGTCTATAAGTCAGAAGTGCATAGCAGGTGTGTTCAAGGAAAATCCATCCAGAAAATCCCTCTGGGTGCCGTGGTGGAACTCCCTGGCATGAGTCCTCCCTCCTCCCATGCTCTCACACCAAAGGGCTCATGTGAAATATTTCATATATATTCTGTGGTATGAAGGATACTCAGTTCAGCAGCTAAAGCTTCTATCCTCTCCCTGTTCCGGCTTTTTTCCAAGCAGGATATTCCACTTTGGAATCAGGAGAATAAGCTCTTTGAACCATTACAAGATGTTCTGATGGCACACAGTGACTTCAAGGTGACCCAGATGAAGGTTTTCAGTCTTTTCTGTTGGTTTTCCTGTTTGTGTTGGAAATATATCAGCCACTTTGTGAAGCTTCAGTCCCCAAACCCTCCTTCTATCCAAAATACTGAAATAACTTCAAGTTCCTCAGAATTCCTGTGACCTCCTCAGCCTGGTTCCTTGCAGCCCTCAGCAGACTCTGGTGTCCCATTCTCTACTCCTGGACCCCTGCTCTGGCACACATCCTCTGCCAGGGCTTGTCCTGGTTCACCAGGAGTTCTCCAGCTGGTGAATTTTTAATAGTTCATGAGACTAGAAGGAATATTTCCTTCAGCTGCTGTGGCCGTGTTCAAAGGGCATGGAGGAGCCGGAATAATCAGGCTCTGAGGTTGCTCGAGGCAAAGGGGTTTGAACATCTCATTCCTAGGAAAACCCATGCCTAAGAGGCAATCTTAAAACAACATCTGGAAGGTCTGGATATTTTCACAAGTTTATTTTCAAGCTTTCTCTGGAAAACTCTTTCAAATTCTGAAGGATGAAGCTGCCAACTGAGCATGTGTGAGAAGCAGCAGCTTTTTTTCCTTGACAGATGTGACTTTTGCTATGTTTCTGCCTGTTTTCCAGCTGGGAATCCCCTGGTACAGCAAGGTGGGCAGTCCTTAATCCTCACCCAGAACCCTCCCTCAGGGCTGGGCACGGTGGTCACTCAGCCTGTGCTGCGGCCAGTGCAGATCATGCAGAATGCCAACCACGTCACCAGCTCCCCAGTGACCAATCAGCCCATCTTCATCACCACCCAGGTGAGTGCCAGGAGGGCCGGGGCACACCAGCACGTCCCTCATCCGTGGAAAACTGTCTTCTGCTAGGAAATAATCAGGTTTTAGTTCAGGGGATGTTACACTGAAATCCCTTAGGCTTGTGGGTTTGTGAGTTTGACCTCAGTCAATACATCCCTACTTGGTTTATTTTCCTGGGAAACTAGCAGGTGTGTTTTTTAAATGTCCAGAGGTGTCTTCGAGCATTTGCTAAGCCCTGGGAGAAGATTTTGGGTGTTGAGGGAAGGAGAGATGAGTGTAGGCTGTAGGATATTGTGGAGTACAGGGAAGGCCTTGTGGTTCAGCTCATTTATGGTGATTATACAGTGATGTGGGTTATTTTTATTTGTCTATTTTGCTTTTAGGGTAAAGAACTCCTCTCAAAAGTGCTTCACCTACTAATGGGGCTGTTTGATTTCAGGGATTTCCTGTGAGGAACGTGAGGCCCGTACAGAACACAATGAACCAGGTTGGGATTGTTCTGAATGTTCAGCAAGGACAGACAGTGAGACCCATCACCCTCGTCCCAGGTAAGGGTGAGACACTGTGCCAGTGTCTCATCACCCCCACAGGAAGAAACTTGTTCCTAATATCCAATCTAAATTCCTCCTCTTTTCATTTATCCCCATTACTCCTTGTCCTGTCACTGCAGTTCCTAACAGGGTTCCTCTCCAGTTTCCCTGTAGCCCCTTCAGATCCTGGAAGGTGCTGTGAGGTCTCACGCAACCTTCTTGATCTCTTGACCTTGGTTCCTTGCTCTCTGTGTGTTTCTGAAGCCCCAGGTACCCAGTTTGTGAAACCAGCAGTTGGTGTTCCTCAGGTGTTCTCCCAGGTGGCCCAGGTGAGACCAGGTGCCACCATGCCGGTGCGACCCACCACCAACACTTTCACCACGGTCATTCCAGCCACGCTAACCATCCGGAGCACAGTTCCACAGTCCCAGGCACCACAGCAAAGTAAGTCCTCTCCCAGCACCTCTACAACTCCTACTGCAGCGCAGCCAACACCTGTGGGACACTTCCCTGTGGGCCAGGCACAGCCAGGGCAATCCAGTCAAGCTCCTAATCCCAAATTAGGTAAGATTTGCCATGGAAAAGGCAAGGGGCCTCAGTGTTTCACTCTGTCTGTGATCTGACCAGAAGTTGAGTCAGAATTCCTGGGTTCTACTTTCACTCTTGGCTCCTGGAAACAAGGATAGTGTTGCTGTCATGGCCAGTTTGGTTTGAGAACTGCTTAGATTTGGGGCAGTAGAAGGCCCCAGAATAGTGTTTTTCAATGCTTTTTGTAACCACTTGTGGTTTTTGAAAGGTGTAGTTAAACAAATGGTGAACACAAGCACAAACTAACCATGTTTGGGTTTTTTTTTTTGCTGTTGGCTGAATTCCTGAGGGAAATGAGTGCTCAGGAATAGTGACAAACAATTTAAAAGGGAAAGAAATAGTTCACCCAGCAAAACTTCAGGTTCATGGGAGCTTCAAGTTGTTCTAATCACATTCAGCTGCATTTAAAGAAGAAATACAAATAATTTAGCTCATTGTGGGACCTGGCTTCTGTCTTGGAGTGTGGTCTGGAAGGTTTGGGAGATTCTCTTTCCTGTTTCTATAGAATCATAAGGTTGGAAAAGCTCTGTAAACCCAGCGCTGGCAGAGCCACCACTAACCATGTCTCCAGGTGCCACATCCACACATGTTTTGGACAATTCCAGGAGTGGTGACCCCACCACTGCCCTGGGCAGCTGTGTCAGGGCCTGGCCACCCTTTCCATGGAGAAATTCTCCCTGATATCCACCCTGAACCTCCCCTTCTGCAACTTGAGGCTGTTTTCTCTGGTTCTGTGTTCCCTGGGAGCAGATCCCAGCCCCACCTGGCTCCTGTCAGGGAGTTGTAGGGAGTGAGAAGGTTCCCCCAAGCCTTTGCACCACTGGATGGGACAATCACTGACTTAGTCGCCCTTGGTAGAGACTGGGATTCACACAGTGGGTCATATCTCACAGATTCCTGGCTGGAATTGTGTTGGAGTTGTGTTGTCCATTCCTTGCAGTGAGCATTGCCAGTTTTGTGACTGTGAAGAGACCTGGAGTGACAGGGGAGAACAGCAATGAGGTTGCTAAGCTAGTGAACACCCTGAACACAGTTCCCTCGTTGGGGCAGACCCCAGGCCCCCTGGGGGTGTCCAACAGCAGCCCTGTCCATGCTTCCCAGAGGTCCAGCGTGTCAGAGTCGTCATCCTCATCCTCATCCTTGAAAGGTAGGATCCTCCTCCTCCAAAAATGGCAATTTCTAAAGCCATTTTTGGGAGCCAGAAGTTAATTTCAGGTACATTTTGTGTCATCTGTATTCCAAATGTGTTACTCCAGCTGGGGGTAAATATAAGACCTGTCTGATGGAAAACCAAAGAAAACAAAAGATTAAAAGTGTGGGAGATAAGCTGAACTGATCTTTTTTCCTTCTTTGTATTTATTTGTTTAGTTAGTTATTTGTTTTGCAACACTCCTTTCTCCAGTTGCTGGGGGTTTGTTGTGTCACACAGATTGTCAGAAGTTGCATATTGTTGTCTTTTCCGGGCCATTTCCAGCCTGCAACTCCTGAACCTGGAGTATTGCAGTACACCAAAACCTCTGCCTGGATGTCAGGTGAGATGTGAGAGTTTCATTTTTCTTGTTGTGTTTTGTATTTTTCCTGTTACAGTCAGTTCCTCTCCTGTTCCCACCTTTGACCTGCAAGACGGTGGCAGGAAGGTTTGCCCAAGGTGTGATGCTCAGTTTCGAGTCACTGAAGCTCTCAGAGGACACATGTGTGTAAGTAACCATTCCCAGAGGATTAGTTGTGGGTAGTTGGAGTGCAAAAACAGTTCTCCTTAATTGGGGAGTGCTGTGACAAGGAGGAATGTGGCTAGGACAAAGTGGGAGGCAAAGGAGAGACCCTTGGAAGACCTCTCCCTTGCCTGGAAGTAGGCAGGAGCTCATCTTTGGGTCCTGTGGTGCCTGGAGATGGATTTATTCCTGACCTCACATATCAGGAAAGAACCAAAGAGAAAATTGGATATTGGTCCTGGATAACTCTTTTCCTCCAGAGTTTTCTAGAGTTCCTCTGCCTTCTCTTAGCACTGACGAGTCTCTGTTTAGTAATTGTAATTGTTCCTAGATATAATGTAATGTGTGAGGGTTAATGATTCCTAGACAGTTGAATTTCTGTTTATTTCTGTGTATTTCAGTATTGCTGCCCCGAAATGGTTGAATTCCTCAAGAAAAGGAAATCCCTGGAATCCGAACCAAATCTCCAGTCTGCCAAACCTCCCTCCCCAGAGAAAACCACAGCTGTTGCCTCCCCACCCTCCTGCACCCCCATCCCTGCCCTGTCCCCGCCGGCCAAAGCTCCAGAGCCAGGTGAAGGTGGAGCTGACTCGGCCCAAAGTAAGCTCATCATGTTGGTAGATGATTTCTACTATGGCAGAGACGGTGGCAAGGTGAGCCAGCTCCTCAGCTTCCCCAAGGTTCCCACTTCCTTCAGGTGTCCACACTGCACCAAGAGGCTAAAGAACAATATACGGTAAGGGAATGCCCAGACTGTCCCAATGCCACCAAAAACAGCCTGAATGGCCCTGGTTTGCAGGACTAAACACAAGTCGTTTGTGTCAGGCCTCAGGCCCCGCAGCTTTCTGTCATATAGATATTCTTGTGTCATAGTAGGCTTAGACCAGAACTGCACCCCAAAAGGAGAGATTTGCCCCTCCCCAGGCTTCACTTGGGGCAACAGTTGTAAGCAGACTGCATCATCAGAATAATTGTCTGGGGAAGGGAAGTCTCCTTCAGCAGATAACAGCAAATAAACTTCATGGAGACCTGCTCTCCTTCTGTCTCTCCAATGATTTCTTAACAGAAAGAGAATATGTTGATGAAATGATGTTTTCTGAGCAAGCCGCCATGTAGTTCTGCTGTGATACTACACGGCTGAGCTCTCTTTGAAGCTGAAGTGTTTTGACATCCGTTGGAGGCCAAGTTGGGGTCAAAAGTGCTCAGAACCAAATAGTACAGCCTCAGACCTCCAAAATCTGGGCTCTTACTGCGCCAGAGTCAGGGATTGGGAGGGCTGGTGATGCTTTCAGGGTTAGACATGCAGAACATGTGTATTTCATCCCCTCCCTTCCAGGTTCATGAACCACATGAAGCACCACGTGGAGCTGGACCAGCAGAATGGTGAGGTGGATGTGCACACCATCTGCCAGCACTGCTACAGGCAGTTCTCCACCCCCTTCCAGCTCCAGTGCCACCTGGAGAATGTCCACAGTCCCTATGAGTCAACAAGTGAGCTGATTTCTGCTGGTTTGGGGGCTTAGGAGTGTTTCTGTCTTGTGTTAACCACAAATCTGTGGAATGAGGGATGTCTCTCCTGCCTATGTAGGCCACCACAAAACTCCATCTAAGTTATATTTGTGGAAATATTACCAAGATTATTTTAAAGACTTCAATAAAAGTGACATGGTAGGATTTAATTTATACCAGCAGACCAACATCTGGTTTAAAATCCCTTGAAGTTTCCTTGCTAGGACATTTTCCCTTTCCCAGTTTTGTCTTAAGATATTTTTTGTTGCCTTTTGGAATATATTTTGTCGTCTGCCAAGTTCAACTCTAATTTTTGGAGTTTCTCTGTTTGCTTTGCTTTAAGATCATTTGTAACCCAAGAAATCTGCAGTTTTAATTGGTGTTTTCCCGGTTTTGACCTGCTTTTCCCTTGTTTTGCAGCCAAGTGCAAGATCTGTGAGTGGGCGTTCGAGAGCGAGCCCATGTTCCTGCAGCACATGAAGGACACCCACAAGCCTGGGGAGATGCCCTATGTGTGTCAGGTAGTCCAAGGGATTTGGGAGCTGAATTGCATAGTCATGTCCTAGGAATAGGAGGAAATCTGGATTTTTCCTTCCAAATGTGTGGCTCAGAGTGGTCTAAACCAAACCTGGGCCGTGGAACAGTCCTGTGGAGCCTGGTGGGTTTTTATTCCAGGAGGAGAACTCCAAAAAGGAAGAACCAGAGAATAAACTATGTTGTGTTAAATCAGATTATGTTCTGAATCAGGTTAAATATGAGGCAAAGGTTCTTCCCCCAGAGGTGTTTGGGCACTGGAGCAGCTCCTCAGGGCAGTGTCACAGCCCCACAGTGCTCTCAGGCACAGGGGGCATTGTCGGGGTGCCCTGGGCAGGAGTTGGATTTGATCCTTGTGGGCCCTTCCAGCTCTGACTATTCTGTGATTCTGTAAATCTCTGAAATTCTGCATTTTACGCCGGCCCTGGAGACATTGCTCTTCGATCCGTTCTGACTTTGTACTGACTGCCTCTCCCTCTTTTTATTCCATTTTTCTTGGATTTGGAGCTTGAATCGTCACTTTGCTTTTATAAAAGTAGTTGAAATCTGTTTCTCCATACTATTTTGAGTAGTTGCTTGATTTAGTACCTTCCAGTTGGAATAAGCCCGGACATGATTCCTCAGCTCCACTGATAAGCTTCAAGAGTTGGACTTGGGTCATCCTTGTGGGTCCAGCTCCATGATTCTAAGTGTCTTTTGGGAGTCTGGGCCTTGCTGTGAAGGTCTCCACATTGTGGTGGTGGATATGAGGTAGATTCCTGTATTCTTTCCCTGTTAATTGTGTTTTCCCCCTCCTGCAGGTCTGTCAGTACCGCTCGTCCCTCTATTCCGAAGTGGACAGCCATTTCCGGATGATCCACGAGGACACACGGCACTTGCTCTGTCCTTACTGCCTCAAGGTCTTTAAGAATGGAAATGCTTTCCAGCAGCACTTCATGAGGCACCAGGTACACAGCAGGGCTGGCCTCACCTGCCTCAGGTGGAAACAGGTTGGAGTAGGTGCTTTAGTCACTCCTGACAAATCCAGTGTGCTTGATGGCATTCCAGACCTTTCCTAGGGACTGTGCTGAGGAGGAGGAGCTCAGCCTCTCCTTTGGGAACAGCACAGCTTGGAGTCTGCAGAAAAAAAGGGATGTGGATTGCCCCGTGGTGGTGCCGCCTCCCATGGGAGTGCTCCAGGCCAGGCTGGAGGGGGCTGGGAGCAGCCTGGGCCGGTGGGAGGTGTCCCTGCCATGGCAGGAGTGGGATGGGATGAGCTCTATGGTCCCTTTCCACCCATGCCATGATTCCATGACTCTAAGGAGCATGTTCTGCTGGACATGCCATGATGAACCAACACTGAGCTATGTGCCCGTTTGGGGTTCATTTCATTTCAGTTCTCCAGGTAATAAGCGAGTCAGGAACGCTGGTAGATTTTGTGGCTCAGCATTCTGTTCCTGTACTTGTTGGCTGCATTTACAGTGTATTTTGGGGGTGTAGCTGAAGTGAGCTCTCAGAATTCGGAAATTTAGTGCTTTTACCAAGTGCCTGAATGGATTTGCCCAAAAATCCTTCGCTCACTCCTGTGAGAGGCAACTCCTGAAGGAATGTTGTCCCACGTCTAGCTCTGCTTTGGCTGACAGAAGCTGGGTGACACTTCCCATGGCGCTTCCAGGTCTGGTGTCTCTGCGGAACCTGATGATTTTCATTAAAAAGCCCAAACCAAACAAATCTAAAACCAAAGTGTGGTGCTTGGCCATGAGAGACTTTGAGATGCTGGAAAAAAAACCAAGGCTGCCTTTGGTTTCAGTGGATGAAAAGTGATTTGTTCTTGTTTGTAAACAAATCTTGCTGTGTTGTACCTCCTGTTTGCCTAAACTGGACTTACTTCATTTCCCTTTTGCTTTAGAAGAAGAGTGTTTATCACTGCAACAAGTGCAGACTCCAGTTCCTCTTTGCCAAGGACAAAATCGAACACAAGCTGCAGCACCACAAAACTTTCCGGAAGCCCAAACAGTTAGAAGGATTAAAACCTGGAACCAAGGTAAGAAATCCAAGTTCTCAGCAGGTTCCTGTGCTCTTGTTACCTCAGGAAACACCTGCAGTGTTGGTGTTGGGGTGGAGTTATGAACTGCTGCAAAAATAGTCTTTTTTTATCTGGATTAACCAATCTCCACCTTGTCAACTAGACCGTGGCACTAGGTGCCACATTCCTTGAACACCTCTAGGGATGGCGACTCCCTGGGTAGCCCCTTCCAGCGTCACATCCTGGAAGCACCCGAGCCCGAATTTGGGTCAGTCCCTTGTGTTTTAGGAGGTATTGGTGTGTGTGTTCTCTGCAGGTGACAATCAGAGCATCCAGAGGACAACCACGGCCAGTGCCAATCTCCTCAAACGACATGTCGCACAGCATGGGACAGGACTCCACTCAGCTGTCATCCTCCTCAGACCCTCAGCCCATCTTCCTGTACCCTCCTGTCCAGAGGAACGTCCAGAAGAGAGCGGTCAAAAAAATGTCAGAACTTCTTCTGACTACGTTTTAAGTTTCAGGAGGTTCTGAAGGGACTGCAGTGAGGTTTTGTAGTGCTGCAGTGATGGGGAGTGGGCGATCCTCGCACTGGCTTAGCTGCCAAGGAAGGTTTATGCCAGAAGATGTGGCTTCCCACAAAACCAGGATGGTGTGATGGAAGCCCTTAAGGTGAAACTGAGATGGAGAATTAGCTAGCAGTGGAATTTCATCAGCACAAGGGATTTCTGCCCACACTAGAGAACCAGGGAATGGTTTGGGTTGGAAGGACCCTAAAACTCATCCCATTCTGCCCCCTGTTGTGGACCACACCTTCCACCAGCCCAGGTTGCTCCAAGCCCTGTCCAACCTGGCCTTGAACACTTTGAGGGATGGGGCAGCCACAGCTGCTCTGGGCAGCCTGCGACCACCCTGACAGGGAAGATTTTGCCTCCTGTATCCCATCCAACCCTGCCTGTGTCTGTGGGAAGCCATTCCCCCTTGTCCTGGCACTCCAGGCCCTTGTGAGAAGCCCCTTTGTAGCTGCCCTTCAGTACTGCTGCCTTGTTTTCAGGGTTAGTTGGTTCTGTGGGTGCGAGTTTATTCTGCACTCTGGTCGTGTGCAGCAAGAGGGAAGGCACCGAGACGAGTGTGACTGGAGACCCGTCACTAATGCTCCTCTATCCTGATCGTTGTTTCGTTCCAATAAACATCTGTTCAGGCACTAACAAAACTCTCCCTCCTCTCTCCAGGAGTGTCCTGGGCAGACAGACCTGCCTGGAGTGCAGCTTCGAGATCCCTGACTTCCCAAACCACTTCCCCACCTACGTGCATTGCTCCTTGTGTCGCTACAGCACCTGCTGCTCCCGCGCCTACGCCAACCACATGATCAAGTACGTGGGGGACTTGGGGTGCTGCAGGAGAAATCCTCCTGCCTAAAGCAGGGATTGGGGAAGTTCCAGTTCCTGCGGTGGTCTGTGGGCACTGGATGTGTTCCTGGCTCAGCACAGATGTGGGTGGTGAGTTTCAGACGAGCTGAGAAGACAGGAGTGGGAAAACTGAGGTTCATTCTGCATTCCAAACTTGTTGTAATCCATAAATTAATAAACCTCGGGAATAATCTACTTCTTGGAGTTAATAAATACTCAGAACTTGTGTGGGAAGGCACTGCATCCTGGTGCAGGAAACTCATTTTTCAGTGTGCTTAGGATTCTTGCTAAACTCTTTGATGGAATTAAATTACTGTTAAGTTTCTAAAAGGACAAAAAAGGGCTCTGTGCCCACAGCACTGCCCAAAATGGCCCTGGTCTGCACGGGACAGTTCCCTGACACCTGGGCTTACCCACGAGCTTTTTGCCAGGGATTTTTGTTCAGACACAGCTTTGATCTCCTCGAGTACAGCACAGGCAGGCTAAATATCTTGACCCCAGGCTTGGGTCTGGCTTTGTGAACATAGATGCAGAATAATTCTGACTTTTGTCACCTCTTTGTCTTCCAGCAACCACGTCCCTCGGAAGAGTCCGAAGTACTTGGCTTTGTTTAAGAACTACACTGCCTGGTAATGGGAAACTTCTCCTCTTCGGTCCCGTTTTAGTTGCATCTGCTGTTAGTTGCCTGGCAGCACAATGTGCAGCCCCTTCCTGGTCTTCCAGTTCTGTTCTTCCTTGATTTGTCTCTGCAGAAGCTGTTTGGGTTTTAGCACAGGAAAAGAAACTGATTTATGGGTTTAAGGGCTCAATGCTAAGACTCCCATTGTGCCCTGCAGAGGTTAATGTTTCAGGGTGGGGGACACTGTCTGCACCGGAGGGTGACAGTTTACTCCCAGTTGTTCATGTACAGATTTTGATGCTGATGCTAAGCTCATTTCCCTTTTTTTCCTCCCCCCTCCAGTGGTGTAAAGCTGTCTTGTTCCTCCTGTCTCTTCGTGACGTCCGAGGGCGATGCCATGGCCAAACATTTGGTCTTCAACCCATCCCACGAGTTCAGTAACATCATTTTTCGAGGTGAGAGATGGAAAAGGAGAGAGAAAAGTTGGGGGGAAAATGAATGCAGGACATAATCAGTTCATAGACTCCAGGTCAACTCTGGCTTTGTTTCCTGGGCTGAACACTGGCTGAGTGTGAATAAATTTCGTTGGAACTTCTGAATGAGTCCTTATTGTTATGGAGATGGGAGAGTTAAGCTCCAAGGGAGCCTGGCTCTGCCTGTATCCCTGAAATCTTCCCATGGAAGGACAATAAGGAAGGCTTCAGGCAGCCCCTCTGTTCCTCGGGGACATCATTGTACCTCGGTGACGCGCGGAGGCCTCCAGCAGCTGCTGGTGCTGCGCTTGAATGGAGCCTCCAAGTGTTCTTCCAGCTCTTTGCTGTCAGTTGCCACAACTTCCAAATTCCTTGGGGCATCCCTGCAGGGATCTGCCCAGGGCTGAGCTCTCCTGAGCAAATTTTGGGATTACAAATGAACGTGGAGTTTTGTTTGCCTCTAACGATTGCTGACGAATGTGGCTCTGCCCAGTTGAGGCTTGGCTTGCTGGCCTGGGAGTTGGGAGGAGGTTGGGGTTGGAAGGGATGGAGATTAGCGATTCCTAGAGAATACTGGGAGTGACAGACAAGAGACACTGATCCTCCCCTCTTGTTTGTTTGCTGAGCTACAAATGTGTTAATCGCTGTGTTTTGCTTACAGGGCCTACTTGGATATCACATTCCAGGTAATTCCAGATCCTAATCCTGTCCAGGTCCCCGGGCTGGGGTTGGGTTTTTTCATCTCTTTTCCCTCACCATGTTTATTTCCTGGGTTTGAAGGTGGTCCCTGTGTTCTCTCCCTTCCAGGCACATCCAACCCCAGGACAAAAGCCTGAAGAACACCTGCCCTGCCTATTCCCCAAGTAAAGCTGCTACTGTGAAAACCAAGTCCGTGGAACCTCCCACAGGTGACCTGGAGCCCGAGCTGGCGCCAACAGCCCATGACAGGCCCCTGCCAGGCCAGGAGGAGGAGGAGGAGGAGGAGGAAGGCTTAAACCCTGATGCTCGAGAAGATGAGCAGCCCACGAAGGAGCCAGAACCTGCCAGCAAAAAGGAGCAACTCTCGGTTAAAAAGCTGCGAGTTGTCCTCTTTGCTCTGTGCTCCAACACTGACCAGGCAGCAGAACACTTCAGGAACCCTCCGCGGCGCATCAGGCGCTGGCTGAGGCGCTTCCAGGCCTTCCAGGAGGAGAACTTGGCATCCCTGTCCGAAGGGAAGTACCTCAGCTTGGAGGCTGAGGAGAAGCTGGCGGAGTGGGTCCTGATGCAGCGAGAGCAGCAGCTCCCTGTCAACGAGGAGACTCTCTTTCAGAAGGCCACCAAGATTGGGAGGTCCCTGGAAGGAGGCTTCAAGATCTCTTACGAGTGGGCAGTGAGGTTCATGCTGAGGCACCACCTCAGCACCCACACGCGCAGGGCGGTGGCTCATCCCCTCCCCAAAGACGTGGAGGACAACGCTGGTTGCTTCATCGAGTTCGTCCAGCGCCAGATCCACACTCAAGACCTTCCTCTGTCCATGATCGCAGCCATTGATGAGATCTCCCTGTTCCTGGACGTGGAAGTGCTGAGCAGTGATGACAGGAAGGAGAATGCCCTGCAGATGGTAGGCAATGGCGAGCCCTGGTGCGACGTTGTCCTGACCATCCTTGCCGACGGCAGCGTCCTCCCGACGCTGGTCTTCTACAGAGGACGTGTCCAGCAGCCTGCCAACGTGCCAGAATCCATCCTGCTGGAGGCAAAGGAGAATGGATACAGCGATGATGAAGTGATGGAGCTGTGGGCATCGCGTGTGTGGAGGAAGCACACGGCGTGCCAGAACAGCAAGGGTATGTTGGTGCTGGACTGCCACCGAACGCATCTCTCCGAGGAGGTACTGTCCGTGCTGAGTGCTTCCAGCACTCTCCCAGCCATTGTCCCAGCTGGCTGCAGCTCCAAAATCCAGCCCTTAGATGTTTGTATAAAGAGAACTGTGAAAAACTTTTTGCATAAAAAGTGGAAAGAACAAGCCAAGGAGATGGCAGACTCCACCTGCGACTCGGACATCCTTCTCCAGCTGGTTCTGTGCTGGCTGGGAGAGGTCCTGGAGGTCATTAGTGACTCTCCAGAACTGGTCCAGCAATCCTTCCTGGTGGCCAGCGTGCTGCCAGGGCCAGATGGCACGGCCAACTCGCCCACGCGCAACGGTGACATGCAGGAGGAGCTGATCACCTCCCTGGAGGAGCAGCTGAAGCTCACTGAGGAGCGCCATGAGGCGACGGCGGCGGCGGCGGCTGCAGAGCTCCAGGATCGGAGCCAGCCCGAGGAATCTGCAGATCCAGAGATCCTCCATCAGCTCTTCGAAGGAGAAAGCGAGACTGAATCATTCTATGGCTTTGAAGATGCTGATTTGGAGCTGATGGAGATGTGAACCAGCCACAAAGGGTTATTTTTTATCAAATAAATGTTGGATGAGACCATTACACTTCCCTGTGGATTTGTGGGTTTAGAAATTTCGTAGGAGATCACTCAGATCAATAATAGCCATTTCTGCTGTTCAGTTGGAAGTTTTTGTGCTTTTTTTAAAAGGAAAAGAAAATCACTGTGTTTGGTATTTTCTGCAGATATCTTGTGGGTGAATATTTTTGCGTTTTTCTTTACCTCACTTGTACCATAGTTTCTGTTTTTCTTGTGCAGAAATGTTTGGAATTTGACATTGTCAATGTGACCATTTGGGAAGAAAAGGAGGAAACAAGATGTAGCTAATGAACCAGTGCTCAAACTTTTGGGTTGTCTTAACACTTTTTCTTTTCCTCTGCGTTTGTAACACTTGACCCAGAAATTGACATTTCTGTGGAAATTTAACGTGTGAACCTTCAGCTTGGTCATGAAGAGTGGTGTTGGTTTGGTTACTTTGGGGGTTTTAAAGAAGATTCAGTATCCTGCTCGGGAATTTGGCCACGGGGGAAACCACAACCATTTGCCTGTTCAGTGCCAGCAGCTTCGGGGTCCAACCTACACCAGGGGCAGGTTTGAGGGGCAGAGCCCACCCAGACCTCTTGTTCTCCTGGTGCTGGTGCCATGGTTGTCCTTCTCCACCTGGAAAACCACCCAGCACCCACTTTGCTCCAAAGAATTCCTGACAGAGGGTACCTGGGGAAGGGGAAAGCCACGTTGTACTTGGATTTCCTGCCGATTGCCCGTTAAATATTGACCTTTAACTAAGAAGTGGCAAACCTGCTTTATTCCCACCCTCCATGACGTTCCTTAGGGTTAGAAATGGGATTTGGGAACCAAACTGTGACGTGCACAAAGGACAAAAGGATGTTTGGGTTTTATTTTTCACTGCCAGCTTCAATTTTTCTACAATTTGCATGTTTGAGGGTTTTTAATTGTCTCAGTTCTGGTCTCTCCGGAAGCATTGGATGGACACCCAGGATCCGGCAGCACCTGCGCCTTGCTGTTTCCATAGAGGTTTGTGAACATTCCCTGTTCCCTAAGGAAAGTGGGAAGCAGCATGTGCACACCTGTAAATGGTTCATCTTGGAATTGTACAGACGTGGAAAAACCATTTAATAAAACCAGGGAAATGGATTTATAAACATGTGTTGTTATTCTGGAGGACTGGAATTCCTGGTGCTCTCAAGGGCAGATTTCAACTTTCCTCTGCGGCCTTTGTGTGTCCTGAAGAACCCAGAGATGGTTTTAATTAAACTCTAATTAATTCTGCCCAATTGGCATCTCTGCCACCCCTTAGCCACAGGTTCAGAGCTACAACCTGCTCCTCCCCATGAAGATTTCCTTTTTTTAAATAAGTCTCGAAAACCATGAATAAAACTCTCCTGAATTCCTGGTTTCCCTGGATTACAACCAGAGGAACGTGGTATATGCTGTGTGTAAGTCTTGATTTGGGGCAAATCCTGGGGATTTTGGGTTCAGCAAACAAGTGCTGATCCTGGTGGGTCGTGCTGGGACTGGCCTCTGGCTGCACCCGGGAGGGCGAGGTTGGATCTTAGGGCAGATTTCACCATGGAAAGGGTGCTCAGGCCCTAGCACAGCTGCCCAGGGCACTGGAGTCATCACCATCCGTGGCATGCCCAAAACATGGATGCGGCACTTGGGAACATGGTTAGACATGGCCTTGGAAATGCTTTTCCAACCTCAACAGTTCCGTGATTCCAGCAAAAGATAAGGACTTGGAGCTGTAACCCTCACCTGGAACTCAGAGACTCCCTGAAGTCACAGCTTTTGGAGGGTCCTGAGAGCAGCACAAACACACAGAATGGTCTGAACAGGTTTGGTTTATTCCCAAAAACATCACATTGGATCAGAGATTCCAAAGGGATAATGGAATTGTGGGATATATAAAGGGTGACAGTATGGACACGACATCCTGGAGCAACTCCTGGAGGTCACTCAAAGCCACTGCAAGAAGTGATTTGTAAAGTTAGGAAGACACAGAAGCTGGAGGTGCCACAGGGGGAGGGAGGAGGGATCAAGGGGACTCCAACACCTGGCAGGGCTGTGCGCCTCACTGACCCCTCTCTCCTGTGCTCTCAGGAGGTGCCAACCCAAGAGCATTACCTGACCATGTGTGCGATGTCCCAGCTGGCTTCCAGGGTCAGAGGTCCCTCCACCTCCACTCCTTTCTCTGTGGCAATGGCTATTTCATACTGAGGAGAGAACACATGGGAAGGTCTCACTACAGCCTGAATCCTGTACCTGGGACAGTCGCCGTGGGTACCCTAATCAATGAGTGTCTTAAACCAAGTTTGGTTCAATGTGTTTGTGTTCAGTAACATTTTCCTTGGATAGCTGATGGGAGGAGAGAGAAACACTTTCAAAGGGAAAAGATTCCACCCCCTGGGTGCTACACAGCTGCAGTGCTGGGACAATTACCTTGCACTCAAAAGTACCATCACTTGGCCTCAAACAGCTCTGGAGCATGAGGGCAAGCAGGATCTCACCAAGTTTGGTTCAATGTGTTTGTGTTCAGTAACATTTTCCTTGGATAGCTGATGGGAGGAGAGAGAAACACTTTCAAAGGGAAAAGATTCCACCCCCTGGGTGCTACACAGCTGCAGTGCTGGGACAATTACCTTGCACTCAAAAGTACCATCACTTGGCCTCAAACAGCTCTGGAGCATGAGGGCAAGCAGGATCTCTCCAATCACCCTCTCCAATCCCCCCCCCCCTGCCAGTCTGGGAGTGGCTGCAAGGCTTCCCAGGATCTGGGACGAGTGGGATCCAGGTGTGGAGGTGAACACTCACCCTGTTGAAGGATCGAGCGTCTCTGTAGTACAAGATCTTCATGCAGCGCTCGATGAGGTCCCGCGCCTCCTCCTTGGTCAGGGTGGGTTTCTTCTCCAGGACTTCCCTCATCAGTGGCTGAGAAGATTAAATTAAATTAGGTTAAATCAAATTCAAGAGCTCAACAGCTCCGTCAGCTAGCGCTGAGGGAGAACAACCTCTACCTGAGCAAGGTAGGCTCCGTAACCTGTCGCAAGTGTCGGAGCTTCGTAGGCCACTCCAAGCATGTCCACGTACCCCAAGAAGCTGAAAGGGCAAAGTGGTGGCCATGGTAGCCACCACGGTAAGGACATAGTCCTGTCCACACCCTGTGCTTGGGGAACCACCCCAGGGATGGAGGTGGACCCGTCACACCTCACCTCTCGCCATTGTAGAAGCCTCCGATGACGACACTGTTCCACAGCGGGTTGATCTTGGAGCGTCGGTTGTACATGACCCTGGTCAGCCAGGAGTGGATGGCCTTGGGGCTGTAGCTGTGCCCATCTCCCAACAGCTCCTCATCAATCCTAATTTGGGGAGAAGTTTCCAGACTGAGAAATTCACGTCCAGGGAACAACTGGACGTGGCTCTCAGTGCTCTGGCCTAGCTGATAGGTGTTGATGGGGCACAGGTTGGACTCGAAGGTCTCGGGGGTCTTTTCCAACCTCAGCAATTCCACGACTCAGCCAAGGGAAGATGGAAAGCACGGACGAGAGCCCGGGAGCAGACCACCCGCAGCCTCCCCAGGGGCCGTTTTCCAGCCCGGGGATACCTACACCATCTGGTCGATGACCTGCCGGAGGTACTGGAAGTCGGCGTAGTCCCCGGAGGCTCCGAGCACGGTGCTGCGGTTGACCCTGAG